TTTTTTTTATATTTTCATTTATTATATAAATTTCTTTAAAACAATTCTAATTTAGATCGTTGTTTTTTATTAAGTTTTACAGGTTTTAATTTTTAAACTTCATGTGGATATTAATTTTAACCCTTTCACGAACACGTCGGCATAAGCCGAAGAAAGAAAAAACTTAAACTGTGACACAGTGGTATACAAAATCGTCGGACATAGATGATAATTGTATTTTTTAAGTGGTAGCATATTTTGTGGCCTAACAGAAGCACTCGAATTTAGCTTGGTGCCCCATTTTATATTTTTATATATTATTTTCAACGGAGATTTAAATATCTAGTCTAGAGCTCCAAATATCACTGGTGTCATTGGGAATTATTACTTACTTTCAAAATCCATACCTGCGGAAGCATGACACCGCTTTTCAAGAACTAATAAAATTAACTTTCTGAAAATTTCTAATTCCAAGAACTTTGCGGTGAAAAAATACAACGCTAGTCGATAGTCCGACTATCAATCGATAATTGAAAAAAGTAAAACCATCGATAGTATCGATAGTTTGACAGCCAGGTATTTACCAGAGCTGGGCGATAAGGATTACATGTGTAATCAGTTGCATCTAGGATTACGATTACTTTAATCCCAATTTTAAAAATTATTAAATTCGGATTGCGGTAATCGTTCATCGAAGGCATCTTAGAATATGATTACAGTAATCGTAATTTCGGATGGTTCCGTGAGCAGAAATGGAAAACTTTTGACTGCCATTCACCTGGGAGTGGCTAGAAGCGATTCTTGTGCGTACGGTTCAAATCGCAGCTCACAACGTCCGGATATTTATATCCACGCATCCTCTGGGTGGCAACCAAACACCCCTCTGGGTGGCAACCAAACACCCGTTTGGGAGCGAGCTAAAGTGAGAAGGCGTAAAACTTCGCGTGCGCTGGGTTTGGGTCCCGCCATATTAAAACCCCGCCCAATGAAAAGAAAAAAACAGCCTCGGATGAGACCCCCATTTTATGACGAAGACCACGGCAAACGTATAAAGGACTATCATTTAAGGGTATGCACCTGGAATATCCGGAACCTTAATGGGGAAGGTGCCTCTGCCTGGCTGGTGGATGTCCTCGGGAAGACAAAGGCTGACATCACCGCCGTCCAAGAAATGCGATGGACGGGGCAAGGTAAAGTAAGCGTGAAGCCTTGCGACGTCTACTACAGTTGCCACGTAAAGGAGCGCAAATTCGGTGTTGGATTCGTGGTAGGAGAGAGACTCCGTCGCCGAGTACTGGCGTTCACTCCGGTGGACGAACGTCTAGCCACAATCCGCATCAAAGATAGATTCTGCCCCGACGGAAGAGAAGGATGAGGCGTCCAAGGATCTCTTCTATGAGCGCTTGGAACGTACATATGAGCGCTGCCCCCGACACGATGTCAAAATCATGCTTGGCGATTTTAATGCCAAGGTTGGCAAGGAAGGGATCTTTGGCGCCACTGTCGGAAAATTCAGTCTCCACGACGAAACGTCCGATAACGGACTGAGGCTGATCGACTTCGCCGGGCCCGAAACATGGTAATATGTATTACTAGGTTCCAGCATAAGGACATTCACCAAGGTACATGGCTGCCTCCAGATCGAAAAACGAGAAACCAAATAGATCATGTTGTGGAAGGCATGCTTCAAGCGTTTTAGACGTACGTACACTCCAAACATCGACTCGGACCACTATCTTGTTGTAGCCAAGATACGCGGGTGCAGCAAAAACGTGCACCCAACAATGCAAGGAAAGCTTAAGGTCAAAAATCTGCAATCACAACCGACGGCAAATTTATACGCCACTCGACTCACACACCTGCTCCCTGAGAGCACTCTTCAACAATCCGACATACGCGAGCAGTGGAACCACATTTGCCGATATTAAATACCGCCGCCGAGGAAGTAGTTGGATTTCAGCGAGCCCGAAAGAACAACTGGTATGATGAGGAATGTCAATAAGCCGCAGAGAAAAAGATGCCACCTGCCACGCTGCGATCGGGCGCAACGCAAGCCATGTGGGACCATTATAGGGAAACGAAGAAGCAAGCGAGACGTATTTGCCGGAATAAGAAGAGAGAGGCCGAAATACGTGAGTGCGAAGAGCTTGAGATGCTGGCCGACAGGAAGAACGCCCGAAAATTCTATCAGAGGGTTAGGCGACTTACGGAAGGTTTCAAGACCGGGGCGAACTCTTGTAAGAAACAATGGCGACCTAGTGACCGATGTCCAGAATATACTTAAATTGTAGAGGGAACACTTTTACAACCTACTGAATGGCAGCAGCGCTGAAAGCCGAGCTATTCAAGTACGGCGGCGAGGAGCTGATGAGGTGCATGCATCAGCTCATATGCAGAATATGGTCAGATGAACGCATGCCCGACGACTGGAATTTAAGTGTGCTCTGCCAAATCCACAAGAAAGGCGACGCCGCCATGCGCGCCAAAACTACCGCGGAATCAGCCTTCTAAGCATAGGTTATAAGGTCTTATCGAGCGTATTGTGCGAAAGACTGAAACCCACCGTCAACGAGCTGATTGGACCTTATTAGTGTGGCTTTAGGCCTGGAAAATCCACCACAGATCAGGTATTCACAATACGCCAAATCTTGGAAAAGACCCGCGAGAACAGGATCGACACACACCATCTATTTGTCGATTTAAAAGCCGCTTTCGATAGCACGAAGAGAAGTTGCCTTTATGTCGCGATGTCTGAATTTGGTATCCCCGTGAAACTAATAATAATAATAATAGATTGGCGCTTACACATATGTTAGTGTTTGGCCGAGCTTCTCCTCCGACTTGTGGTATGCGCCTTGATGTTGTCACACAAAGCGGAACGGCGACTGTATTTTTCTGAGAAGCTGTTTTTCATGGCAGAAATACACTCGGAGGTTTGCCAACTAATACGGCTGTGTAAAATGACGTCGAGCAATACCACCATCTCCGCCAGAATCGGGAAGGACGTCTCCGAGCCGTTTGATACCACACGAGGTTTCAGACAAGGGGACTCCCTTTCGTGTGATTTCTTTAATTTGATGTTGGAGAAGATAATAAGAGCCGCAGAACTGAACCGCTCAGG